ACAAAATCAAGTCTCAATTTAGCTATTAATCCTCTATATTTAACCTCTATTCAGCAGTCAACCTCCATTAAAATACTACTTTGGAAAGTCCAGCTGAGCATATAATTGAGATACCACTGTACTTTGCTATTATTGAAAAGGTTACTAAAGCCTGGTTTTCACTAGACTTAAACCTAAGACCAATGCCTAAACCCAAACATAAAGACAAATGTAGTGTGAAAACAAAACACAAGCCAAGAACACCTAGCAAGAAACAATCCTAATGCCAATACTCTTGCAAGACTGGCACTTGCTAGTATTTTGATTGGTCAAGACACATCTGCGTTTGTGTTTCATTTTCACTGATTATATTTGTTTGTGTAGCACTGAAGTGAGAGCAAAGCGCATTGTTTGGGTTCACGCTTAAGTTTGGGCTTTCGTTGGGTCGGTTCTCAAGGTGTTTATGAGCCTTGGGCACTTGCGCTAAGCATTGGCATTAGGTTTTAAGTCGCAGTGAAAACAAGTCTTAACAAAGCCTATTCCACTATATGACATAACAAGAAATTTGACACTTTCGTTGCTTTAATGTTAACGACTATAGTGTATTGGAATGGCAATAAAACTAAAACAACATCAACAACAACGAAATAACAGCATTTACTGAACAAAGGAAAGATACATGTTAACAACATGATGGTATAAATTATACCAGGATTTTAGCACACAACACTCCTCACATGTTGATTTTTGATTGAGGGAGGACAACCGGAGGACCCGGAGAAAACCCCTCGTGGCAAGGGAGAGAACAACACATCAAACAAACTCAAACTCACATATGGTCCGTGCCCAGGAATCGAACCCGAACCACAGCGGTGAGAGGCTAGTAGCTTAACCACTAGGCCACCCATGCCACCATACTGTATTGAGACAAGATTTCATGCTGAGAAAACTGCAAATTGTTATCGTAACTCAATACCTTTGTGGACGAATAGGTTGAAACAAGAGGATTAGGAATACGCCCAGCGATAGATGACACATTAATAACAAGTCCAGATTTTCTAAAAGCAAATTGCAAACAATTCAGTGTTCTTATTTATTTATCAGAATTATTTGTAACATAATTTTTATTTAATATTAAGTCACATATATTTTATAGTAAGTCAACACAATTATTGATCTGTGGATTACAATTCAAACAGTTAAAATGCTCTGCTACATAAAAATGTTTGTTGCATGTGAAAAACTCCTCCCTCCCCTCCCTCCCCTCCCTCCCCTGGAGATTATTTCATAGGTTTATATCTTCATTTCCTTACCTTGCAACCATCATTGGCAAAACTATGTAAGTCATCTGGTAAAAAAGGAAGAACATGACTATTAGTTTGATTGTCTATTTGGGTTGCTTGGTTGGTGGGTTGGATGGTCAGTTGGATGGTTGCTGGGTTGGGTAGTTGGTTGATTGCTTAGTTGATTGCCTAGTTGGTTGGTTGGTTGGTTGCCTAGTTGGTGGATTCGGTGGTGGGTTGTATGGTCGTTTGGTTGATTAGTTAGTTGGTTGGTGGGTTGGTTGGTTGGTTGGTTGCCTAGTTGGTGGATTCGTTGGTGGGTTGGATGGTTGTTTGGTTGATTAGTTTGTTGGTTGCTAGGTTGGTTCTTACCATGACAACAGAAAGGATGTTGACATTAATCATCTTACAAGTTTCCTATATCATCAAACAGACATTTAGAAATTAAGGAATTAAAAATGATCATTCAATTAACCTACTAACTTTTATGATTGTCAATGAATAACTGAAAGGATTAATAACTTATTTATACTGTAAGACAGTTTGTGGTAAAAATTGCCTCCATTTAGTCTCCATTTTCAGYAATGTGAACCCAACAATGAACTCTCTTAAAAATCTCTTTTATGCTGAAAATAGTTTGAATAAAATCTCGCAAGTTTTAACTGAATTTCTGCATATTGTATATACTAACACAGTGTAAAAGAGAGTCTCGATTATTCGTGAAATTTTGTGTGTCAAACGACATAGCCAGTCTCTTTCAATCATACTACACCTACTTGCAGAAACATTGTCATAGAAAATAGAACATTCGAATTTAATAAAAAGGGATAAATTAAAACAAAACAAAAGAAAGTGTTATTTTTTTAATTGTTTAATTTATTCCTTTTTACTAAAATACAAATGTCCTATTTTTTATTTTTTTGCAAGTAGGTGTATCTCTGTTTGTTCACAACCATTCAATGTTCTCATTAATAATATTTTTTTGAAATAAGTAGGTCTAATTATATCATACCTCTATTGGAAGCATTAAAAAGTAGTCAGGACACTTTACTCCAACTCCAACATTATTCACTAAARCAATGAAAATAATACAATTTAAAATAGACATAGATTGAAGTAGCTGCTTTGTAAATGTGATTATTGTGTAAATTTTCATTATATCAGACCAGTCGACTAAAAGGGTCTAGCCTAATATCATAAACACCAAGGAAGCTCTAACTCAATAGACCTAATCGGTTAATGTCGTTGCTACATATGTATGTACATTGCCACCCAATTCAAATCCTGTGGGGAAAAAGAACTTAATTTGTTTCTAAAGAATTCAACTTGAAATGAAAATACAACGCACAATGAAACTTACTCCTGGGTGTTTTGAATTGGGTTGAAGCCGATTAGGTCTATTGGTTTCAAACTTTCACCATTTTTCAGAAAACAATTTTTATACTGAAAAAGCCTATTGACTTTTTTTATTMTAAGAAAATCAATTTTTAAACTACTTTACTGCTAAAAAAATAAATTTTAGATAGTTACACGAGATTTAAATCATTATTTTTGTGTGTGTGAAATTATACAATTATCAGATGACAGAGATCCGTCCTACTGAGTAATAAGGTCTCCTATTTCAATGTAGTCTGCATGTAGAGATCATTATTGAGAGGTGATCCTGATATCTTACCAAGTATTCCTATTTCTAGGTCCTTTAGTTTGTCACCAATGTCTTGGTATATCTCCTGCCCACCACTGAAGTCTATCACAATGATTCTTGTCTCTACATTGTATTCAGATCCTAAAGAAACACTTCAGTTATCAATTATATCATAAAATAATGCACACTAATTGGAAGAGGCAGCATTTGCAATCCTAGTGAACTTATGTTTCAACATACTTATCTCTTCTTCAACTTTCTTAAGTTTTTCTAAATTTCTRCTCATCAGAACAATGTTTAGTCCTTGCTTGGCTAACTATGAGAATTGAAAGAAAAGAATTAAAAAATATAATAACAATATGGTGAAAATATAGCTATAATATCAAAGGAAAAGGGTCACAAAGTCTTAAAGTGATTTTTCGAAGTTTGAATATCAAGAGATTGGACTGAATTTTCAGATATTAATTCATTATCACTAATGGAACTTACTTGTTTGGCATACGATTTTCCAATTCCATCWGTGCAGCCCGTCACAACTGTTGGAATAAATCAGATTTGAGCATATTAAGTAAGTTTATGTAAGCTTGTTTTAATATTGAAAAATATTAAAAATATTAAACTAACTATGGATTGATTGATCATGCATCCATTTATATATTAACCCGGAGTATACACCTTCTATTCTCTATTATTCTCTATTTAAGAGACCCAGGATTACTGCTAATTTATCTTTGTACAACCCAGGTTTGAATAATAAGGTTTTAATTTTTTTAAAAAATTTCAAATATCGTTTGTTGAACTATAGCTTACCTGCCCAGGAACCAAATGCCTTTAAGTCTTTCCTAAAACCAAGTGAAGGTAGAACGAAAGCTTTAACTCCTTGTATGACTTGAAGTATAAAGTTTATTCCGTGATAAGCAAGAAATACKCCTCCAACAACAGAAAGAATATTAGCCGCCATTTTTATTTCGACATGGGACGAGTGACCAGCAAAGCACAGGTAGCCCATACTTTCCGGGCCCACTCATTGAAAATGGAAAGCAATGGAACGGAATGGAGGGGCAGGACTTTAGGAAACATTTTGGTGGACAACAACCAACTTTTGAATTTACAATAGACAGCTCCTTGGTGAAATTTGAGGAAATACATGAGAATGTACTTGTCCTTTCAATTTATTTATTTGCTGCAGCTTTAAAGCAGTTTGAATGCTAAAACCATGGATAATAAAATTACACTACATATACTGGATAAATAATTCTTTATTGAAAAGATAAAATGCTTTAAAAGGCCACCTTCCTACAATGTGACTTTACAAATCTAGATCTTTTGAGATCTATCTATTTTACATTTCATTRCCTTAMACTTTTAATCAATTACAATTAATTCAGGTTTAATTGTTCCATTATATTCATGACGTACAGGGATATAAAATTGAGCTTAATTCATACAKTTGTACAGCTGGTATACAGGGCTGTAGTCTGCTGGAGATTKTGCAGGGGAAGCACAAAAAAAACATAAAATAAACCGATGTAAACAAAKTTTAACTAAAAGCGCCAGAATTAGACTMAAAAAATATTGAGTGACAGGGACGTCAACTCTCCCGGATTTGCAAGGAGACTCCCGGTTTCAGATCGAATCTCCTGGTCTCAAGATTTTAGCCCTAAATCTCCTGGACACACACGATATTTTTATAGAATGATATTAATTACTAACCATCGTTGTAGATTTTTATTTTCAAAGAAAACCTTCAATGAATTATGTCGCGTTTCCTCAATCTTTCGATATGGAACGAAATACCTACAGGCCTTGGTTACATACACCTGTATGCTCGCACATGAAAAATATATAAACTGATTATGCAATGTCTAATCCCATTGGTTGAAACAGAATATGATGTCATTTGTGACGTCATTCACATGTTGTGACGTCATACACATAATTGAGGCAATTTCTCGAGATATATATAGTTCGGAGGTTGACATCCCTGGAGTGATGTTTTTACAATTCAAAAACTCAAATCTCAGTATGAAAACATTAGAAGGGTATGTGCAGGTTCCAGTTGTTCCTTCAGTGYTCAAATCCCTCTCATTATCAGGCTCTTAATGTTTTCTTTCTAATATCTTCTAAGAAGACTTCTTCGAATGTCCAGATGTAATCTGAAAAAAAAATTATCATAAATAATTATTTAATCATTTCAAACATTATTACGATCTTCTGTACATAATTCAAAAGTTGAATTTGCACAGTATGGTCTCCATCGATCCTCGGATTATCACTCGCCCTACTACATTTCAAACATAACCTCCCTCCATTAACAATGACATATAATCCAATAGCCTCTTTCATGTTCAGAAAACAAATTGTGCGAGGGGCCAGGTGGTTTTGCACCAAAATGTGGCTGAATTGGCCAAAAAAAAATTGTCCTCTTTGAGCTTGTTTATCTTTTTGCAATGTCAGAAAAATAACTTTTGTTGGTGAAAAAAGTAATAATTTTGACATAACTTTGACACTATTGTTCATTTGAGGGCTGCAGCAACATGTTGCCCACTTTTGTTCTAACCGCGAAAAGGTTTTTAATTTAGTTTGACTCTCACTTACTTAATCCCTTCAATTAATTAGCATTTTCACCTGTTGTTTAAATGACCAATACAATTTCCACAWTAGGGCTTGAGTGACAGCCATAGRTAGGAAATTCATCTGGATATAAGCCTTTAAAGGAAAATTCAMTCAATTAGTATCCATGGAGACTACTTCTCAAATGAAMTTGCCTAAAAATGTAAAAGTTGACACCTTAAACCCACTGCACACAATACACTTGATCAATTGCTTTGATCAGCTGATGCGCACCATTTTTGCTGTTCAGCTTTCCTTGCGATGCAATGTCTTGCTGTCAAGGTCAAGGTGTGCTTTTTTCTGCCTCTTGTCACCGAAATTGTAATATGCCTGAAGAAGTTATCCTTCAGGAGCATAATATTAATAACGAAGTAATAATGTAGCAGATGCAGCTAAATACTGCTTTGTGATGGTGAATAATTGTTACTATAAAACTTATTAATAATGCATGAGCTATTACTCCAATAAGGGCTGTCCATTTAATCAGGTGACGACTGTGTTGTAAATCTGATACAACACTAGTGTTGTATCAGATTTACAACACAGTCGTCACCATTGAGACAACCCAACACTAGCAAAGGTCTCAGTTTTAATATCGCATCATAGACCTTCACTAGGTTTTGAAGCAATCAAAGACAGTTAACAGAACTCGGTTATGCAACAGATGGCTTGCTTTCCATGTKGGATGGATAATTATTCAAAATGTTCTGTGTCACAGTAAATTGCGCATGCTTAATAGCGACTAAACTCAGCAGTTACCTTAATTGTCATTTTTCGTCATTTATCTCACTGTAATTCATGTTAATTTGTGTTGGAGTTTTATAAGTCGTTGTAAACTATATATAGTCTCAGTCCTGATGATGCTGTAGTACAGCAAAAGCTTGCCTTTACTAAATATCATTCACCATTACACAGCAGTATTTTCATGGCCACATCTGCTACAATATTACTGCGAAGTGTATTTACCAATATAGAATGAATCCAGTATCCGCAAGTCCTTTGTTCCATTCCAACTGTTCCTAATGCTTGATTGACATAACAGTCAGAAGATGGCGCAAGAAGACTTGTCGACATATTTCTAGTCATTTTTGTGGACACAAACCATGGCATGACGCACTGCAAAGTACAATATTCACATTGCATTTTTATATATTACAATATTCAATTGTTTAAATAAATACCAGAAGAAATCAAGCCGCCAATGGCACCACAACTCGAAGATTGATTGTGTAGATGAATAAAGAACAATACAATGAATCGAATTATAATTACTTGACAAATAGAATTTTGAGTATCTGATTTATGAATATAGTTTTTTTTCGTTATATTTTATTTTAACTTCGGTTCTGGATAGCGCCGGCGATCGAGATAAATCCCAGTCTAGCCAAAACTATGTAAAATCACCGTGCAAGTGTCAAAAAGCAATAATAACAATCCCCAAGTACGGTAAATACAACTTCGCCTCAACCGCAATCAATGATCGATATCTCAAGAGTTCAATTAAAGCAAACAATAGAAACTTCAACAAACAGCCAAATAGAAATTTTCTTAAAAATTTGATCATCAAAGAGTTTGTAATCTTAAACGTATCAATGATTGAAAAGGTCAATAGACGAAATATGCTTCATTGAAAGTCTTAGTTTTAGTGTGTCAAACAAGAATTTTGTTTAAAAAAACAAGTTCACATGTACCATGAAACAGTCAAATAGTATCCGGTTTAACAAGGCAAAAGGGGCATTTTCTTAAAATATCTGAGTCTGTCGGAGAGAGAAATTTGTGTTTTTGGTACATTTTTGTAAAATCATAAGTGTAGTCATTTTAGTAATCAACCTAGATAACAAAAAAACTGTCAAAGTAAGTACGCAAAGAAATTTTGCATAAGTATCTATAGACAACAGATGTGTTGCAGATGTAATTCATATTCTTTAAGCACATTTAATTCAGAAGTGTTTGGACATCGATGTATTAAGAAGTAAAAGAAAGACTACAGTCTCTTTGATTGTGAGCTGCGTAGAGCTGGAAAATTCTATGACAGAGTCTTCATTGTTTCATTTTAACATTAACTTGGATTCTTGATAAGCACAGGCCAGCACCTTCGTACAATCATTTTCGAAACAAATTGGAGGATCGTCCAGTCTTCTTTGCTTGCTTTGACCTTGTGACTTAACGGTATGTCGAATCAAATTATAATTACTTTTCAAATAGAATTTTACATGATTTTATGAATACAATTTTCTTTTTCTTTACAATCTAATTATTTTTAACTTTGATTTTGACAACCAGGAGCGAGCACCTGCAGTTAAAAGACAAGTCTAACCGCAATTATGTAACATTGGTACGCGTGGCCGAATGGAAGTGCTTTCGATTTCTAAATCAGAGGTCTGATGTTCGAAACTCACAGGAGATGATATTTCTTTAGATTTCTTTCTTTTCCAAAAATAAATGAATAAATATTAAGATGTAGAACAGGGAAACCGGTAACAGCAAATTAATGAATAAATTACTAGAAAACAGGAGAGAATAAATTAATAGTTCTGAATAGTCCTGAAGTAACGCAGGCTCAAGTTTACAGGAAAGTGAGTGACTGAGTGAGTGAGTGAGTGATTGAGTGAGTGACAGACTAGTCCCCCTCCAATAACTCTTCAATTGCTTCGCAATCTTCGAGTTAAAAAAGAGTGCAAATAAGCAAAATCAATTTGTGGTTTAATGGTGAGGTTTAGGGTTAGTGGTTGGATAGGTCTTATATAGAGTTCGAGAGTTCGAATCTTACCCGGATAATTTTTTTTGCTAAGTGAGGAGAACTTACACTCGTGTGATTGGAAACCTAGCCAAGATGTACTTGGTCACACAGTGCATGACAATAGTACCATAATTAGATTCTCTCAACAAACCTGAGCATGTATTCCTTTATCAGAATACTCTCTGTTGATGCAATAACTGAGAAAATCCACAAAGGCCTAAAAAACAATTATAATGAATATTTTAGAAAATGTATAGCAATCTTTATTAACATTATCAAATTCATTAATAATTCATAAGGAAAACACTGTCAATGGAAAATCATTACTGTGACCGCATCTTTATATGAGCAAGAGATTTGTCCTGATTTGCATACGACTTACATAACAGCTTCGATTTTCTTGAAGATTATTGTAAAATATACTTTAGCTTATGTTGGAATTTAATAAGCAATATAAAATATTCACGTCCGACTGTTATGGGCTCTAAAACTACTAGCTTGCAGCTTACAGATTTATTTGCCCATAAAGTTCTCCTGCTCATATTTTATATTTAAGAAATATAAAACGGCACACATGTCTCTGTCCTCTGATATAAACACGGTGGGAGTTCGAAAAACACGAGAGAAGCAAGCTTAGGAACACGAGCGTAGCGAGTTCGAAAAACACGAGAGAAGCAAGCTTAGGAACACGAGCGTAGCGAGTGTTTCTCTTGCTTCTGAAGTGTTTTTCAACTCCCAACGTGTTTATATCAGAGGACAGAGACACAAACGGCCGTTTTATATTTCTTTTATAAAATTTTTCGGGCGAAAATACAATTTTGCCGGTAAGCCGTGTATCTGTCCTCTGATATAAACACGGTCGTCAGCCAATCAGAGCGTGCGTTATATATCAAAAATGTTATAATAAGCAATATAAAATATTCACGTCCAACTGTTATGGCCTCTAAAACTACTAGCTTGCAGCTTACAGTTTTATATGCCCATAAAGGTCTCCTGCTCATATTTTTATATATTACAAATATTGTTTGCAATCCATACTTTTGTACTTGAATAATTTGAAATTAGAGGATTGGGTACCAAAGCAGCAAATGATGACACGTTGATAATTAGTCCACTTTTCCTGCAGAAAATACCAAGTAAAGCTTGTTATAAACTACATTATAGAATAGATAACCTTTATTTACAACATAAAATGTTCACTAGGACCCAATTACTTGTCATTTATAGTTCAAAAACTCATACATAATTAATGAGTTATTAGGCCAATAGAATGAGCCTATTTGGTGACATGCATGGACCTTTATATCTGATAAAACACTCCTTATTTAGTATTCTTTATATAAAGAATACTAATAAGGGTGACCTTTATCAGATATAAAGGTCCATGACCCTAGCAAAGGTCTCAGGTTTGAAACCTGATCATTGACCAATGCAGGATGTCAACCGAAAGCAGTGAACAGCCAAAAGCGCTTCTATTTTACTTTATGCGTATTCAATGTGGGATGACAAGAGTGCTTTGTAAAGTGATTTGCTCATGATCAGTTTGCCCTATTTACCTCAGAACATATTTGTACGGCAATTTCTCCAAGAATAATTTTAACGGATTTGAGTTTCAAATTAGTGTTGGAGTTTTTGAAGCCGTTTTAAAACAATGGAATCGTGTTTTATTTATTTTTTGGCTCGAATCTTTATACCTGATAAAACACTCTTTCGTGTTTTAAACTATACTTAAGAATTGCATTGAAGGACCATTGTCCACCAGCATTCAATGCGGCCGTGCTTTAGTTTATCATATATGGAAAATGAGGTGTCAAATGTCCATGCACAATTTGGTTCCATCCATCTGTTTTCAGGTTAAATCTTACAAATCTCCATCCATAGAGCATTTAGATAATAAAGACTCGTACTTAAAGTTGTTTGTTTATATTACATTTATAGTATCTTTATTTTCAAACTTGCGCAAGAGCTAAAAAGAGATTAGTGGTCCATCCCTTTAAAATGAAACTTGCGCCTCACTAATCATTTTAAATTCACTTCTCTATTTTTTTAAGTTCTGTTTCCTTACCTTGCTAGCATGATAGGCAAAACTATGTGAGTCATCTGGTGGAAAAAGGAGAAAATCATTATGTACTCACTTGGCTGATTGGTTGTAAATGGTTATAGCCAGCTGTTTGGAAGGTTAGTGGGTTGGTTGGTTGGTTGGCTAGTGGGTAGGTTGGTTGGTGGGTTGTTAGTTTGTTAGTGGGTTGGTAGGCTGGCTGGTAAGTTATTAGTGGGTTTGTGGGTTGGTTGGTAGGTTATTAGTGGGTTGGTAGGTTATTAGTGGGTTGGTAGGTTATAAGTGGGTTGGTAGGTTGGCTTGTAAGTTATTAGTGGATTTGTGCAGGTTGGTTGGTAGGTTATTAGTGGGTTGCTAGGTGGTTTGTTAGTTTATCAGCGGGTTGTTGGTTGGTAGGTTATTAGTGGGTTGCTAGGTGGTTTGTTAGTTTATCAGCGGGTTGTTGGTTGGTAGGTTATTAGTGGGTTGCTAGGTGGTTTGTTAGTTTATCAGCGGGTTGTTGGTTGGTAGGTTATTAGTGGGTTGCTAGGTGG